GGCTTGCTGTATATTGCCTTTATTATGTTTAGGTATGTTCCTTGTATCCCTGCTCTCTCCAAGACCTTATCATAGAGTGATGTTGCGTTTTTTTCAAAAGCTTTTTCGGCATCTAATGAGATGATCATGAGGTTTTTATTTTTCAGCATGTTTATATGGTGGATTACGTTGACAGATTTTTGTATGTTGAACCATCTCTGAATCTGTGGGATGAAGCCGACTTGATCATAATGGATGATGGTTCTGATGTGTTCTTGGATTCGATTTGCCAGTATTTTATTTAGTATTTTTGCATCAATGCTCATGAGTGAGATTGGTCTGTAATTCTCTTTCTTAGTAATGTCTTTCTGTGGTTTGGTTATTAGGGAAATTGTAGCCTCATAAGACGAGTTTGGCAATGTTCCCTCTCTATTGTGTGGAATAATTTGAGGAGTATTGGTATTAGATCTTCTTTGAAAGTCTTGTAGAATTCTAAGCTGAAACCATCTGATCCTGGGCTTTTATTGGTTGGGAGACATTTGATGACTATTTCTATTTCTTCAGCATTTATAGGTCTGTTTAATTTTCTTTTTTTTTTTTTTTTGGTTTTTCGAGACAGGGTTTCGCTGTGGCTTTGGAGCCTGTCCTGGAACTAGCTCTGTAGACCAGGCTGGTCTCGAACTCACAGAGATCCGCCTGCCTCTGCCTCCCGAGTGCTGGGATTAAAGGCGTGCACCACCACTGCCCGGCTTTGTTTAATTTTCTTATATGGTCTTGATTTAATTTTGGTAACTGATATTTATCCAGAAAGTTGTCCATTTCCTTTAAGTTTTCCAATTTTGTGGAGTACAGGTTTTCAAAATATGACCTAATGATTCTCTGGATTTCCTCCTTGTCTGTTATGTCCCACCCTTCATTTCTGATTTTGTTAATTTTGATATTCTCTCTCTGCCTTTTGGTTAGTTTGGATAAAGGTTTGTCTATTTTTTGATTTTCTCAACGAACCAATTCTTTGTCTCATTCTTCGTATTGTTTTATTTGTTCTATTTTGTTGATTTTGGCTCTCAATTTGATTATTTCCTGCTGTCTAGTTCTCTTAGGTGAGTTTGCTTCTTTTTGTTCTAAACTTTTCAAGTGTTCTGTTAATTCACTAATGTGGGATTTTTTCCAGCTTCTTTATGTAGGCGTTTACTGCTATGAACTTGCCTCTTAACAATGCTTTCATTGTGTCCCATACATTTGGGTATGTTGTGTGGTCATTTTCATTGAAATTTTGGAAGTGTTTAATTTCCTCCTTTATTTTTTCCTTGACCCATTGATGATTCAGGTGAGCATTGTTTAATTTCCATGTGTTTGTGGGTTTTCTGGAATCAGTATTGTTGTGTACTTCTAGTATTAAACCATGTGCTCTGATAAGGTACATTGGGTTATTTCATTTTTTTTTTGTATTTGTTGAGGTTTGTTTTGTAACTGCGTATATGGGCAATTTTTGAGAAGGTTCTATGAGGTGCTGAGAAGAAGGTATATATCCTTTTCTATTTGGATGGATTATTCTATAGATGTCTGTTAAGTCCATTTGAGTCATAACAACTGTTAGTTCTCTTATTTCTCTGTTCATTTTTTGTCTGATTGACCTGTCCAATGGTGAGAGGGGAGTGTTGATGTCTCCCACTATTAGTGTGTGGGGTTTAATATGTGATTTAAGCTTTAGAAGTGTTTCTTTGACATATGAGAGTACCCTTGTATTTGGGGGCATAGATGTTCAGTATTGAAATTTCCTCTTGATGGATTTTTCCTGTGACTAATATAAAATGACTTTCTTTGTCTCTTTTGACTGATTTTAGCTTGAAGTCTACTTTGTTAGATATTAGGATAGCTACGCCCGCTTGTTTCTTAGGTCCATTTGATTGGTATATTTTTCCCAACCCTTTATTCTGAGATGATGTCTGTCTTTGAAGGTGAGATGCATTTCTTGAATGCAGAAGAAGGATGGGTTCTGTTTTTGTAACAAATCTGTTAGTCTGTTCCTTTTTATATGTGAGTTGAGTCCATTTACATTAAGGGATATTAATGACCAGTGGTTGCTATCTCCTGTTAATTTAGTTTTCATCGTTGGTGATATTAATTTGTCCATTTTTTTTCTTCTTTGGGATTTGCCGTTATGAGATCATCAATTGTCAGGGTCTTTGTTGGTGTAGCAATCTTCCTTGGGTTGGAGTTTTCCTTCTAGTATTTTGTGTAGGGCTTGGTTTGTGGCTAGGTATTGGTGAAATCTAGATTTGTCATGGACTATCTTGTTTTTTCCTTCTATAGTGATTGACAGTTTTGCTGGGTATAGTAGTCTGGGCTGGCATGTAGTGGTCTCTTAATGTCTGCATTATGCTTGACCATAACCTTCTGGCTTTCATTGTCTCCAATGAGAAGTCATGTATAATTCTGATAGGTCTATCTTTATATGTTACTTGGCCTTTTACCTTTGCAGCTCTTAATATTCTTTCTTTACTCTGTATGTTTAGTGTTTTGATCATTATGTGGCAAGATACAGTCTATTTTGTGTTATGTAAGCTTCTTGTATCTTCATAGGCATATCTTTCTTTAGGTAGGGAAAGTTTTCTTCTATGATTTTGTTAAATAAATTTTCTGTGCCTTTGAGTTGAACTTCTCCTTCTTGTATACCTATTATTCTAAGATTTGGCCCTTTCATGGTGTCATATTTCCTTTCATATTTCCTGGATATTTTGGGTTAAGCTTTTGTTAGATTTAATGTTTTATTTAACTGATGATTCTATTTCCTCTATTGTATCTTCAGCGTTGGAGATTCTCTCTTCCATTTCTTGTATTCTGCTGTTCATGGTTTTGTTTGTGGTTCCTGATCTTTTTCTCATGGTTTCTGTTTTTATAATACCTTCAGCTTGTGGGTTTTTTTTAATTGTTTCTATTTTAGTTTTCAACTTCTGGAAAGTTTCTTTTATATGTTTAATTTCTTTTTCTTGGTTTTCTTTAAGTGATTTGCTGCATTATCTTACAATTTTTTGTTTGTCTTTTCCTCCATTTCTTTAAGAGATTTCTCATTTCTTCTTTAAGAGTTTCAAATATTCTCTTGAAGTTATTTTTTTAGGTCATTTTCTTCTGGTTCATCCATATTTGCTTGCTCAGGTTTTGCTGTTATGAGGTCTTTAGGTTTACTGGTATTGTTTTGCTTTTTGTGGTGTAGCATGTGATCTTACCTTTTCTACTCATCTTTTCCTTTAATTGGTGTGGCTGGAGCTGCCTGATGTTCTGTTGAATAATCTTCTAGGTGCCAGTGAATCCAAAGCTCAGATGGTTGTTCCTCATGGTACAGTCAGGGTCACAGTTTTAGTTATCGCATTGGTTACTCCTGTTCTTGGAGATAGCTCAGAGCTCCTGTGCTTTGCTCTGCTCCCTTAGAGTTTGCTGTCTCAGGCCTACTTTGGCCTAGGTTGTTGGCTTTGATGTGTTTCTTTAAATCCTGGTCTGGATCCCCTCCTGCAGAAGTCCCTGGCTTGGAGTTGGACCTATTCTGGTAGAGCTCATTGATTCTGGATTTGGTCTCTTGCTCAGTTCTGATCTGCCAGTGTTCTGGGACTGGGTTGGCTCCTAGGACTCAATTTCCTCCTGGCTTCTGCTACTGGTAGAGCTTGTTTTCTCAGGCCCTCTCTGTCCTAGGTGTCTCATTCAATCCCACTACTGTGGAATTTGTGGCCCAAGATGGAGTTCCTTGCCTCAGGGCAACTTTGGTCTAGGTTGTCTGCTTTGACCTGTATCTGTAAATCCTGGTCTGGCTTCTCTCCTGCAGAAGTCCCTGGTTTGGAGTTGGACCTGGAAAGGTTTCTGGTTCTGGCCTACTGCTTCAGAGGTCCCAGGCTCGGGTGTGCCTAAACCTGCAGAGGACCTGCTTACTTCCTCAGAGGTCCCAGACTCACAATTGGACCTGCAGAGGTTCCAGGTTTCTAACTATTTCCTTTGATGTCCCAGACCAATGCCCTAACGCATAAACGTCCTGGCTCAGGCATACTCTCCGTGGGGTCACAGACTCATGCCTGGTCCTGCCGAGATTTCTGATTCCTGCCTATACCCTCGGAGGATCCATGTTCACTTACACCCAGACTGGCAGAGGTCCTGGCTCAGGCCTAGTTCCTAAAAGGTCCTAAACTCACACCCCCAGTATGTGTTCTTTCATGGCGCTGGAGATGACTCTGTTGTGCAAAGGCTTTACCACACTGATTGCATACAAAGGGTTTCTCTCCAGTATGTGTTCTTTTATGAATTTTAAAATAATTGTGATAGGCAAAGGCTTTCCCACATAGATTACATTCATAAGGTTTCTCTCCAGTATGTATTCCTTTAAAATGCACTTGAAGACTGGAATGGCATGTAAAGGCTTTACCACATTGATTACATTCATAAGGTTTTTCTCCAGTATGTGTTCTTTTATGTATTTGAAGACCACTACATCGTGTAAAGGTTTTACCACATTGATTACATTCATAGGGTTTCTCTCCAGTATGTGTTCTTTTGTGTATTTGAAAATTTCTGTAATGTGCAAAGGCTTTACCACATTGATTGCACTCATATGGTTTCTCTCCAGTATGTGATTTTTTATGCCCTTGAAGATGACCACGTTGTGTAAAAGCTTTACCACACTGATTACATTCATAAGGTTTCTCTCCAGTATGTGTTCTTTTATGTATTTGAAGAGAACTGTGATGTGCAAAGGTTTTACCACATTGATCACATTCATAGGATTTGTCTTCCATATGAGTTCTTTTCTGTATTTGAAGACTACCATGTCGTGCAAAGGCTTTACCACATGGATTACATTCATATTGTTTCTCTACAGTATGTGTAACTTTAAGATGCATCTGAAGACTGGCATGATGTGCAAAGGCTTTACCACACAGATCACATTCATAAGGTTTCTCTCCAGTATGTATTCTTTTATGTATTTGAAGATAACTGCATTGTTCAAAGGCTTTGCCACACTGATTACATTCATAAGGTTTCTCTCCAGTATGTGTTCTTTTATGCATTTGAAGAGAACTGCATTGTGTAAAAGCTTTACCACAGTGATTACATTCATAGGGCTTTTCTCCAGTATGTGTTCTTTTATGTGTTTGAAGATTACCATGTACTGCAAAGGCTTTACCACATTGATTACATTCATAAGGTTTTTCTCCAGTATGTATTCTTTTATGTCTTTGAAGATGACTGTGTTGTGTAAAGGCTTTACCACATTGATTGCATTCATAGGGTTTCTCTCCAGTATGTGTTCTTCTATGCATTTGAAGATTACGGTGATGTGCAAAGCCTTTACCACATTGATTACATTCATAGGGTTTCTCTCCAGTATGGCTTCTTTTGTGGCTGCAAAGATAATTGGCACATGTAAAAGCTTTACCACATTTAATACACTGTTCAATCTTTATATGTGTATGAATTAATTTCATGATTTAGTTCAATTGTGAAAAGAATTAAGTTCTTATGGTTTTGTTACTGTGTTTGTATTCATGTTGCTCCCCTTTTTAGGGGTTGTTTTGCATTGCTGAAGAGACATCTGATAGTAGGAACCTCTATTACTTGGATCACATTTACAGAATCTTTTTTCTTTCTTTCTTTTTTTTGGGGGGGGGGTTTGGAGACAGGATTTCTCTGTAGCTTTGGTGCCTGTCCCGGAACTAGCTCTTGTAGACCAGGCTGGCCTCGAACTCCCAGAGATCCGCCTGCCTTTGCCTCCCGAGTGCTGGGATTAAAGGCGTGCGCCACCACCACCCGGCCCACAATCTTTTTTCTTTATGAGGTTTTTTACATATTTGAAGAGACCTGGAAAAATTCAGGCATTCATATGTGGTATGTTATGTCTGCTAATATCCCTATGGTAATGTGACTTGTATATAGAATAATATATGATGTACCAAGTAATGAATGAATAACAAATAGAAGATTTACACATTGAATAGCATAGTCTGAATTTCTATTCCTCATAGACATGTAGTATAGGTATTAAGTTCTCAGCAATGACTGCCCCTTGACTCTTGACTCTAACTGACCCATAACTAAATTTAGTACAGTCACAGCAAGCATATGGGTAACACTAGCTTAACTATGCACCATTTGCTTATTAGAAAGTTTTGGAGATGTGCTTATCACATCTTCAACATATATACCTTTCTAAATATGGGTGGTAAGAAACTTAATAGATTGGCAGTTCTATAGCATAGCTCTCATGGAGCTGGGATTCAAAGGGTGAAACCTGTTAAGGCATTTTCTTTCTTGTCTTGTGAGTGCCTTGCAAATGAAATTCACCTATCTATAACTAAGAAGTATGGTTTTGTGATAATTTAATAATCATCAATGCACATGAACTTGTGCTTTTTTATACTTGCTTTTGTTTAAGACATCTAGAAGGCATTACAATTTCTTCAGAGACACATTTGTGCCAGGTTGCACATGATAATTACCTTCCATGAATTCTGAAACTTTGACAACGTTCTTCAATATTATGGTCTTCCCAACTGTATCCTAAAAAATAGTACCAGAAAATATATGGTATATTATTGAAAACTGTACACAATTCAAATTACTACCTTCAGTAAACCTTAGAAACATACCCGATTTACTTACCTCACTCTTCTTTCCCAATCAGATTGTAGAAGAGCTCAAAAAATGAGGAAAAGCTGTCCCGTTATTTAAAACCTTGAAGGAAGATTTAGTCTTACCTATAGTAATGAGGTTCCTGTAGGTCTCCAGCATCACCTCTTTGTAGAGATTCCTTTGTGAAGGATCCAGCAACTTCCACTCTTCCCAAGTGAAGTCAACATGCACATCATCATAGGTCACTGCATTCTGAAATGTCCATACATGTGTACAACAGGGTACTAACATGATACTAACAACATGGTAAACGTAGACTTCTCTGACTGTATAGTCATAAGACTCTGGTGGTACCCACACTTATCCCATGACACAGACATTATAATATAATACCAAATATTTTTTGGAAGGAAACAGAATAGGAGGTTCAACTCTGTCATAACTGTACCCTGTAAATGGAATATCACATTGCAAGAGAAATCCCTATTAAAAACAGAGAGAGAAAAGTGAACAGATTGACAGTACACATTTGAGAAATTGTATAAAACTTGCAAACTATCAAAAACACAAATGAGATGGCTAGCTTAGCTGTATGTATAGGCTCACACGTTTAACCCCTGCACTCAGAAGTCAGAGGCATGGATATCTGCCTCACAGTTGAATTTCAGCTTAGGCTATGCAGTCAGTTCATGTACAGCCAGAAATACATACTAAGATCCTGTCTCTCATGAAAAAATCAGTCAAAGAAACAAAAGATAGAAAAAAAACTCAGACATTTTTACTGATGTTTCTACAAAGAGTTCTGTATTTATTTTCCAGAAACCTGAAATGCCCCAATTTAAAGTGTAATATCAATAAGAATTTACTAAATGGCACTGTGAGTTTAAATAGTTACGAAGGGACAGGTGAAACATGAGTAATTTAAATGTTGATCATAAATGGTCAACATAGGGAAGAAGAAATGGATCAGTAGTAGAGAGCTCTTGGTGACCTTGAGGTGGCCTCAATGGACAGTACTTATTTAGAGGATCACAACTATCTATTATTTCAAGTTCAGAGTTTCTGAGACCATCTTTTGACCACTGAGGAGGTACCCACATGGTGCATATCCATACATAGAGGTAAAATATTTATATTCATTAACCATTTCAAAACATATTCATCAGGGAGGAAGAAGGTGATACGCTTGCAGTCCAATGACTCAGAAGGCTGAGGCAATATTAATGTTATGAATACACACCACCTTGAGAAACAAAATGATACCTTCTGCCAAATTTGAAAATTCAAGATATGAGCGATGTTCAGAAGAACATGATTGACGTGGACAGATACCTACATTCAAGCTCCAACATACAATGAAATAAAAAGAATAAGGCCAGGAATACAAGCCCACTTTTATTTTATTTTATTTTTTTATTTATTTATTTATTAAAGATTTCTGCCTCCTCCCCGCCACCGCCTCCCAATTCCCTCCCCCTCCCCTGATCAAGTCCCCCTCCCTCATCAGCTCGAAGAGCAATCAGGGTTCCCTGACCTGTGGGAAGTCCAAGGATCACCCACCTCCATCCAGGTCTAGTAAGGTGAGCATCCAAACTGCCTAGGCTCCCCTAAAGCCAGTACGTGCAGTACAATGAGGACTACTGAGAACTCAGGCCCACTTTTAATATCAGCAATTTGAAAGCCAGAGTCAAGGGGATCTCTGAGTTACAGGCAAATCTCTTGAACAGAGTTGCTTTCAGGACAGCCAGCGCTACACAGACAAAAGGGTGGCAAACCAGCCCAGCAATGAATAGCAATTGCTTCTACTGTATCTTTTATATGATTTATAGGAACTAAACTGAATCAATGAGTCACACCATGCTGACTGGTGGTAGCAGAAAGTTAAAAGCATTCTAATAAAGTATTTCTGAAAAACGATCCACATCTCCTCTTTCTACAACTTTGTAAATTTTTAATAACATAACACAAACCTCAAAGTGGAATGCAATATTCAGAACCTCTAAAAACCAGACCATCTTTTTCAAATCCATTTTCCCACCATGCACCACAACAATGCCTGTATGGGCACACTGGACAGTGGATATTATAAGCATCATATCCTCCAGGTCAAGGTTGCAGAGCCTTCCCTTCCCCAGGAAATCCCATGCAGGTCATCACAAGGACTAACAAAACCACAGTCTGGCTCATGGTCCATTCAAGTCCCAGCAGAAATGACAGCACAACTGACCTGCCTGAGCACCCCATTCTCACCATGGCATGGCTTTGGTCTTCCTTACAACTCCCTACGGCTGAAGCAAAGGATTCTGAAAAGAACCTGCAAGCTAGTACATCTGTTCCTATGGCTTGCCAGAGTCCCTCATTATTTAGGGCCCCCCAGCTGAGCCTGATAATATAATAAGCAGTTGCATGAAGGAAAAACGAATTTCATTTCATTCTATTCCAGCTGGACCTCAGCATATAATAAACAGTAGAGATCAAGTGACTCAGGCAGCACAGGCCTTGCCAGCTCTGCCCTTTCAACCCAGCAGTCAGGGTCATAGTCTGGAAAGTTGGAATTTTAGTACACATTCTTCTATGCTCCCAGAGCACTTCCTGTTCCTTGTCCAGGGCACAGGGTCCTTTGGGCATACATTCCCTTACACACTCAATGCCCAGTGCAGTCAACCCTTTGCTTCTTAGTTTTGAAGTTCAGCAGCCAAACAGGTCACATTTAATCAGTGAGTGTTGTTAAAGCAAAAAAGAGGCCACGGGTTAGATAACAATGAGAAGCCATGCTAGGACTTGGAGGCAAGAAAGAGACTCCGCATATGATGTAGATTTCATGTCAAATAATTATTTTGAAAAGTTGGAACAGGCTTTAGGGCCATAAGCTCCAGAGACTAGGGATTTGAATGAGAGCACACCAAGGACTACTGTCACCTTTCTGTCAACCTGTGCATCTTGAACCTCAAAAATAACACTCCTGTAAGGCAGGCCCACAACTTTTTATAAAGATCTTCTATTTTGGTTGAACTAATGTAACTCCAGTAATTTGGTTACATGGTAAGGTCAGTCCTTTATCCAGATTCTTGATTGCCCAGGTCTGTGGAGCTGAAGAAATGGCCACTCAGGACATTTCTGGAGCATCTAAAATCGATTACCTGACTCCGCATTGCTAACATCAGTTACTGCCAAAGGGTCAAAGCTCTCGCCCTCTTTCCTGCCATTCCCTCTCTGTGCAGTGCCTACATCAGATTCAAAGTTGGTGAGTGAACACAATTTTTGCACAGGTCATTCTTCATTTGTAGCTCCCCAGGAAAAGTCAGAGAGATTGGAGGACAGTCATTCACTGTTCTCTTTAGACCAGTCAAGGCTCAGCCTGTGAGGAGTTGTCGGACTGTCTTCCTAGCACTGGGCAGCAGAGGCAGGATTAGGTGAGCAATGCAATTCTCAACTTCATAGCTCCAGGCAAGCTGGGCTACAGAAGATATTGCTCTAAACACATGAAAATAGTGCTTGAGAAAAAAAGGAATGAAATTATTAATAATCAAGAAACATTGGAGAACAGAAATAGAGACGAGAGCACTAATGAACATAAAGAAAATATTAAAACATGATAACAATAAGTGACTTTTTAAAAAGATAAAAATAACGTACTTTTAAGATTTAAAAAATTAACTATATTGACTTTGAAAAAGAGTAGGTTCTTCTCTAGTAGAGGGAAGGCCATTGATAAGAGATTGATTGATTTTGAATATATGCACATGTTGGCAGCTAATATCTCTAACCTGACTCACAGAGTAACAACAATTTCCTGATTCGCAAACATCTAATTTGATGTAAATGTGTGAAGGAGGACTGGTCAGTAAAGTTTCCTAATTGCAAATTCAGTTATTCGTGGCTTCAAGATAACTTTCTCACATTGTACACCCACCAATCCGGTCTGACTTGAACCACCTGACATGAATTAATACATGCTGGGAAATTACAACTGAACTCCTCCTTCCACAATGAGGTCCTTTTTTCATAATGGTGACTCCAGCAGCAGGATTGCCTACCCTGCTTCACTTCTGTGATGTACACCATAAACTATTCCTGCTATTCTGGTCTGGAGGCAGAAGCCATGTTCCACATGCAAATCCTTTTCCTGTAACTGCAATGGACAGTCGACCACACGACTCAGTGAATAATTTTAAATCTCTGAGGTGGTACAGTCATTCAATTTACAAATGTTGCAGGTGTAATATAGAGAACAGCAAGGTCATGCCCTGAAGAACAATAGTCTCAAATCAAGGCCACCTGAGTCAAAAGAAAAGAGCTTGTCTCAGAAACACCGTCCTAAGAGGCTGGAAATGCAGATGCTCTAGAATTACTATGTCTTCCCAGGGAGAAATCACTACCCACATTTAGGAGATTAATAATAATAATAATAATACTCTTTATGAGAGCATTCATCTCTCTCTCTCTCTCTCTCTCTCTCTCTCTCTCTCTCTGTTTAATCCTCAAAGAGTAGGCAGCCTAGAAAGAATTTGCATTTTGCATATACTATCATCTTTAAGTTTCTTTTAGGGTCATGCACTTTGAACAATTTAAATACAGACAGGAGACTGCAAGTCTAGACACTTAGGCAGATGAGAGACTTACACTGATGGGGAAAGCCTTGTTAACCAATAATCTTTAAGAGATGGAACCTAGTTTAGGTCTGGCTTTCTGGGACCAGGAGATAAAAACCTGTGTACCACCCAGGTGCGCTCTCTGTGTGCAGAGCCTGGATCTTCCATTCCTGTGGCGTGAGTTTTCCCCTAATAATAAATAAAATATATCTGTCTAACTTTAAGCTACTGTGGTTATTTCCATATCTACATAACTTGTACAGGCGGTGCCCAACGTGCTGGATATAAAAATCCCGGTCCTGATGTGTGGGCGCGGGCGGCCCAGTCCCGCTGGAAGCGCTTTCTTGCAGGCTGCGGTGTGTGAATGATGGTGCAAGAGCAGTGGCCACTAGTCCCGCGGTCGCACACCACGGAAATTCAGACAGGACACGGGCTTTCCCAGGGCCCCTGAGTGCCCGCAGCAAACCCAGCTTTTTCTGCACTTGCAGAGGCCAAGGGAAAAAAGGTCGAGGAGCTAGCGCCCAGAGCTTCCCTCCGCGCATGCGACCGCTCTGCGTCTCCTTCCTGGTCCTAGAGCAGCTGTGGCCCGGGGCTGCCAGTGAGCAGATCAGGTTCGGCTTTAGGTGGGCTCAGCAGTCGAGATGCCCTGGAGACCCAGCCTTCGCTGGTCTGAGCCAGCTGTTCGCTGTTTCAAACAACTTGTCTGCTTTTGCTATTATAGTGCTTGTGTGGTCGCTGACCAGTCAGGGACCTCCGCGGAGCACACAGTCTGTGATTCGCACTAACTAATTGTTTTTAATTTGAGCATATTTCAGAATTTAGCGCCAGATTCAAGCCAGCCACACAACTGCAAGTGTGCAGCGACACCTACTGGCAGGTAATGGTTATTGTACCTAATCCAGCTAACTAAACCACAGGTAAGATTTAATACTCAAAATATAAATCATAAATTTATAATTTAAAAGGGCAAAATTATGAACAATTCAACCATACAGGGTTTCAATAGACTTTTTACTTATATCATGCATGAAGTTTTGCAAGACTTACATGATTTCCCTCCTACACCACTGTACCTGATTCTGGGGATTAGTTTTGTCTTCCATATTCTTTCCTTAAAAATATGGTTTGATAATAGCGCCAAGAATGAGGCACTTTTAGAAATGGTAAAGTCCTTGAGACTGATACCACTCTTCTAAAAGAGAAAATCACTACTACGGAGAAGGATAATGTTGAGACATTGTCTGAGAGAATTCGTACTCTTGAATGTATTAATTGGACTCTCTAAAGGATTATGATTGACTGATAGAACGTCTCTCCAGGAAGGTAATATGCATTCTATAAAAATTATGTCCAAGGATGAGACATTATTTCTACTGGACAGATTTCACACCTTGGAATCCTCAATGAGGGCATTAGAACAGAACACTGGACGGAAGATCCAAACTTTTACAAAGGCAGTGGTGAATAGATTTGAAAAGATTGAGGAATTTATCAAATTTGATGACCAGGGACAAAAGGTACAAAGGCAAAATTTAGCCTCATCAGTGTGTAAAATCCTCCAGGATACCTTACCCAGAGTTCTGCCTGCCTTTCCGATAATAGCATCAGAAAGAGCATCTGGCACAAAATGCCCCAAGTTAGTCAAAGAATATACACGAGAATCCATACATATGACTGATCTAAAGGAAATTAAACAAGCAATTGTAGCTTACGGACTACATTCGTCCTTTGTTAGAGAAATGGTCAAAATGTGGGCTTCCAGTAGCAAAGCAAGGCCACAAGTTCTGGACTCAGTTATCTTAGCAGTCCTAGACAGTGGACCGCAGTTGCTCTGGAGGTGCTGTTTTAGGGAAAAGGCAAAAACTTTAGAGCAACAACAATAAAAAAAGAAAAGCAAAAGGACTTGAGATTTCCCTGAATCAAATTCTGGGCGAGGGACTTTACTCTGGTCGTCAGGATCAGGCTCTTTATGATATAATATAATCATATAATACACCTCGTCCCTATGTGGCACAGCAGCTTTAAATGCTTGGGACAGGATTCAGGAACTAGGAAAGAGTTTAATCATACCTTAGGGTTAAACAGGGCCAGAGAGAACCTTTTAGTGAATTTTTACAAAGATTAACTAAGGCTGTGCGAATAGGGGTAACTGCGCCAGAAGCTAGACATACAATAATTGAATCTTTGGCATATGAGAATGCCAACTTAGAATGAAAAAGGATCCTTGGGCCTTTAAAGATCAGATCAGCACCCATGGATAAATGGGTCTTGCATACAATAAATGTCAAGACACGTGACTATCATTTGGTGAGCATGGGTAATTTCAATGACCTGAAATCCCAATGTTCTCCTGCACTCCAAAGTTCTTCTAATGATTCATGTGCAGACTATGCTGTTTCCTGGGTGCTTTTCTCCTTCTCTCGTGACCTTCCCACGTAAGATCAATATGACTATGAACGTTATGATTAAATCGGTATTCACTATGTCTGAGTGGATATGCCATGCACACACTCTCACACAGCGCCCCACATTACAAAGCTGTTTGAACATAAGATGTACTTTTCAGCCTCCTTACACATTAGCCCAGAAAGTCTCAATGCGTACCCTTGCTGACTTGCACGTATGTCCCAACATTCCCGTTGTTAGAAGCAGGTCCGGGAGTCACAAGAAAATGGGGCAATACAAAAGTTTTAACTTCTGCAAAATGGTTTATAGTGGTAAGTGAAGTGGATGTGCTAGTAGGTTTTCATTCCTAACACAAAGGGGTCTCGGGCCCTACTTTGAGAAGTCAGAGCCTGGTTTCCCATGCGTATAAGACTGGCTAACTTAAAGCAGTGCAGCTGATAAGCAATGTGAAGCTTTGGGGAACAGAATACAACCTGGAGCACATACTTAAAAAAAAAAAATGCTAACAGGGAGAGGGATTTTTGCCAGATGGCATCCTCACAAATCTCTTTAAAGATGGAACTCCTTTTGTCTCATTTAATCCTTTGAAAGAAAAGATAGTACAATCCATTTACATTTCACACGGGGAAAGTCAGTACAGCCTTAATAAAGAACATTATTTTGTCTTGGTGCTATCTACCCACCCTCCCTAGGGCTGCAATTCTCTAGAACTTCCCTTTAATATTTCCTCTCTCATCTGATCAACACCACCACTCTGCAGCCATTCATTTCCCAAGACATTTTGCCACTCATTCCAACAAATGACATTATTATTACAGCTCAGAGCATGGAGCCTCCCCACGCCTTATACAGCAGCAATGTATGAACACTCCCATGCGGTGGATGAACTGCACAGGCTTAAAAAAGAGTAGGTGTGAACAATATAAAGCCTTTAAGAAGACGGGTCTAGATTGCTAACGCTAGGTGAGCATCAGTTTCCTCGTTTCTCCTGTTAGTACCTGGATGACCATGCATATTCCTCCCTCCGTTGACTCCTTCACTAAGATCTTGAACTCCTGATTATCCAGTCTTCTCTGCCCTGCTGCGATTACAGACATGAGTCACACGCCTGGTTTATGTGGGGTAGGGGACGTTAAAAGAGCCCCAGCTCCCCTTCACTAAAAAAGGATTGAGAATGTTGTTCTCCTCACCTTAAATTCTTTCCAACATTTATCTTGGTTCACGGCGCCAACCCAAGCACAAAATCCACGCATCTGAAACATAAAACAAGTGTAATCCAAAACGCGGAACACTGCAGCTAATTCGTCCCGATTCGTTAGCCTCTGTTCCCAGGCTTATTCTCAAGTGCTCCTCGAGCCTGACAGAACAGGGTGCGCTCCCAGCTCAACCCGGAGCTGATTCCAGTATCAGCGACACTCTGAAATCACCAGCCTTCCTCAGACAAGAGGCTGTGCTAAGGCTCCCTGCGGTGGGCGCCCCCTCGTGGCGCCACTAACTACCTCCTGCCGGGACGACTTGGAAGGGGAGGAGCGGAAAGCAGCGCTGCGGTCTTGGCGGCGCCCGCCAGTGCTCATCTTCCGGCGACGAAAATCTTCTTCCAGAGCAGAGGGGAGAGGCGGGGCCGCGCCTAGGGGGCGGGGCCTGACGGACGCGGGCGGGCGTGAGGCGGGGCCGCGCGCATGGGCGGAGCTGGACGGACGCGGGCGGGCGTGGGGCGGGGCCACGCAAACGTCGGCTTGCGCGCCGCATTTCGCCTCTGGCCGCTGGGGGCGCTCCCGCTCCGGCCGCCCTCCTCGTCTATTCCGCGCGTGCTCGCGTGTCCTCGGCGTGAACCGGAACCGCTTGCCGGAGTCGCGGCTGCGAGCCGGGCGCCGAACGAGAGCGCTGTGGGAGGCGGCCTGCGCGGCGCCGCCCGCCATGGCAGCGGCGGGCTGAGCTCTGCCCTGGGCCGCAGTCGCGGACTCAGGCTTCTCCGCCGCGAACCAGGGGCTGAGGCCGTAGCAGCGGTAGCCGCCCGCTTGTCGTCGCCGCCCATGGCGAGGCCCCGCCGCCGCCGTCGCTGCTGACCCGGGGCCGGCGCGGCTTCCGTCCTCCGCGGGGCGCGGGCGGCCTGCCTTTGCGCCCGCGACCGCGACCGCGCCCGCGCCCCGGGGCTACCTGCCGGGCGCTCGACGATGGGGAACACAACCTCGTGCTGCGTGTCGTCCAGCCCCAAGCTCAGGAGGAATGCGCACTCGCGGCTGGAGTCCTACCGGCCCGACACGGACCTCAGCCGTGAAGACACGGGCTGCAACCTGCAGCACATCAGCGACAGGGAAAACATCGACGGTGAGCGGCGCCGCCTCTCCCTCCCCTCCCGAGCGCGGCTTGGAGTCTTGCGGATCCGCTGCCCGGGGCTACTAGGTCCACAGGGAGCGTGGAAACTTTGCTAGCCAAAGGCCTCCAGGCGTGTGGCATGCGTGTACAGGGGCGCGTCTGTATGCATGTGCTGCCTGCCAGGAGGTGACAGGGGAGGCCTCAGGCCGGGTGCTTTTGGAATGTTGCCAGAGTCGTTACGTTTGGGGTGACGGTGATATTTGTCCTTTCCGAGAGGAAGGGAATTGTCACACTGGTGACAGTTTTACCTGGAAGTCTTTACCTGGAGTTGGCCTGCGTTCTATTCCACCCCTGTTCCCTCGAAAACTAATCCAGGCCCAAGGGAGTATACTTGTGACTGTAGATACACAAATGTATACATATGTATGGTAAGTGTACATACAGCCCCCCCCCCACACACACATAAATACTGTATGGAAATGGTTGCAGGGCTGAGGTAAAAGGTTCACCTCAGAATGTTTTTTTAAAAAATTATTACCAGGTAGCTGTGGGTTAAGTGATCTAGTTTTTGCATGGGCTAGAATTACAGTCATATGAATTTCAGATTCATCTGGGTGACTTGGATTGTGTATTTTGAAAAAGTATGTATATTTGAAAAAAGTTAAAGGAGTCATTACTACACCTAGTAATGTTTTATCTTAACTGATTTTGCAGTAGCCTTCTGAGTACTGTGTTTCATCATCAAGCTCTAAGTAGTTTGTGCTTGGGGCATAAATACAGTTTATGTGATTCCCAACTCAAAAAATTAGAATTTGGAAATATATCATTGTACCTTTTTTAAAACCAATATCCTCACAGTGTTTATCTAGTTAAACTCACCTGAAATCTTTCTTACAAGAATGAACTAACAACTGGTATTGATTTATTCTTGTCCTCTTTGAAGAGTGGAGTTTGCCTTGTAATGTGAAAAGCTACATTTAAATGCTAAAGAAAAGAATTTTGCTATTTGGTGTTAGGATGGCAGCTTTATTAAATGAGTATCATAAGGATACTCATACAGTTTATAATAAATTCTGGTACTACATGATTTTTCTAGTGTTATTTAAGATTTATTTTTATGTGTATGTGTGTGTCGTCATTTGAGATCAGAGGAAGATGTCGTATCTCCTTGATGTGGAGTTACAGGTGGTTGTGAACTTAGGTGCTGGGAACCTATCTCAGATTTTCTGGATGAACAAGAAGCAGTCTTAATCAGAGACATCTCTCTAGTGCTCTATGTGTGTCCATTAGCTTGATCTTCTCTTTAGATGACTAACATTTACACATATTAAGACACGTGGAAGAATGTAAAACTGTGTTTTAAAGGAAGGAGTGAAGAAATGGATGAGTTCATTGTAGAAGGCTGGTGCCAGTCCTGTACATGATTGACAAGTAAAAACACATGGAAGACTTTAATAGCTAAGTCTACAGGATTCCTTTAGGCCTTTTTCATGCAAGTATGTAATGTACTTTGAGTTTATCCTCCATCTTTCACTGCCCTCACATTTCTCATACCTCCCCTTTATTCCCAAACAGCTTTGCTTCTGCTTTCATACCATTTCACATACAGCATTTTATATATCCATTAAATCTGGGACCCATAAGGGAGAGTGGTATAGCTGAGTCATGAGGAATATTTTAGCTTTTTAACACGTTCTGGACTCGTTTCCGGTCTCACCAGGACTGTATAAGGGTGTCCCTTTTGTCTTCATTCTCATCAGCATTTGTTACTTTTTTGTTTTAAAAATACCATTCTAAATGAAGTGAGATAAAAAATCTCACTGTAGTGTTTAATTTGTGTTTCTTCATGACTAGTGATGTTAGATATTTTATATCATTTAAATGTTCACTTATTCGTTTAATTACCTATGAGGCAAGATCTCTCTATGTGGAACTTGGTGTGTATATCAGACTGGACTTGGTTGCTCTTACAGAGATCCACCTGCTTCTGCTCTAAATGTTGGAATTAAAGATGTGCTCTGTCATTCTGGGGTCCATACATTTGTTGCCAGTCTGTGATTAGGTAGTTTAATTTTTTGATCACACTGGTGATCGGGTTTTTGAGTTCTTTGTGTATTCTAGATTTTAACCCTCTGTCAGGTGCATAGTGGTAAAGATTTCTCCTATTCTGTAAGCTGTCTCTTCATGCAGTTATTTTCTTGAGTGTGCATAGATTCATGAAAACTCATTTATCATTGTTGGTACTATTTCTTGAGAGCCTGGAGTTTAGTAATATTTACCTATGCTGGTACCTTAAATGTTTCTTCTGCTTTGTCCTTATTAGTTTTAGGGCTTCAGGTCTTACATTAAGGTCTTTGATCTGTTTAGAGTTGGTTTTTGTATATGGTGAGAGACACTGTTCAAGTTTTATTCTAGTTTGGCCAACAGTATTTGTTGAGGAGGCTATTTGCTCAAATGTGCTTTTTTTCTGATTTTGTAAAAAATCCTGTGGCTGTCTGGGTTTATAACTGGGTCTCCTGTGCTGCCATTGATTTGTCTCTGCTCTAGTACTATTATTATGATGCTTTTTGTTTTCTTTTTGAGATAGAGTCTTAACTTTGTAGCTCTGGCTGGGCTGGAACTAGTTAAGTAGATTAGGCTGGCCTCAAACTCAGAGATCTAGCTGCCTCTATCCTTGAGTGTTTGGATCAAAAGTGTGTGCCAGTGATGTCTTTATTACCATGTCTCTGTTGTAGTGCAACTTGAAATCAGGTGTGATAACTTCCAGCATTCTTCTTTTGCTCAGGATTGCTTTACGGATTGGTCTTTGGTGTTTCTCTGTGAGTTTTCAGCCCCCACTTCCCCCACCATTTGTAAAGAAGAATGGTGTCAAAATTTTGATGAGAATTGCATCTATTGTGTAGATTGTTTTTGATAGTATAGCTATTTTCATAATATATATTGTTCATATTATGAGCATGGAATGGTTTTCCATCTTATAATATCTTTGATTTATTTCTTTAGCATTTTAAAGTTTTCACTGTAGAAGTTTTTTACTTCCTTGGATAGCTTTATTACAAGGCTTTGGTTTGTTTTTGATGTAATTGTGAATGGGATTATTTTTCTGATTTCTTTCTCAACGTGTTCATTATTGGTATCTAGGAAAGTACTAATTTTTGTATATTGATTTTGTATCCTGTCTCTTTGCTCTAATAGTTTTCTGGTGGTCTTTAGGGTCTCTTATGTATAGATTATATTATCCGTAAATAAGGTTACTCTGACTTTTTTCCCTGCTTCTATCTTTTTTATTTTCCTTTCATCATATTGTCCTACATAAAACTAAAGACGTAATGTTGAGTAAGAGTGGAGATGGGACATCTTTGTCTTATTTTATTGGAAATGCTTTCAATTTCCCATTAGTATGATGTTAAGTATAGGTTTGTTATATGTGCCTTTTATTATGTTGATACATTCTTTGTATTCCTAGTTTCTCCAACACTTGAATTATGAAGGGTATCTTGTTGAAAGCCTTTTCTTCACCTATTAAGATAATCATGTGCTTTCTGCCTATGAACTAGTTTGTGTGATGCATTGCACAAATCGTTTTTAAAATCATAAATGATATTTTTGATATGTTCTTGAATTCTGTTTGCAGAAGTATTTTTCCTATATGGTGTACACCAATATTTGGTAGAGGTTTTCTGTTTTAAACGAGAGCAGAAAGAACCCATAAAAAGAGAAAAAAAGGCGGGTGGTGGTGGTGCACACCTTTAATCCCAGCACTCGGGAGGCAGAGGCAGGCGAATCTCTGTGAGTTCGAGGCCAGCCTGGTCTACAAGAGCTAGTTCCAGGACAGGAACCAAAAAGGTACGGAGAAACCCTGTCTCGAAAATCCAAAAAAGAAAGACTGACATTTCAGAGAGCCACGTTGAATATTATGGACTATAGTAAGGAAATGGAAATACAGTGTTTGCAATCAGCTGTTTAGCACTAGGGCAGTGTCTTAACTGGGGTTGCTAGTGCTGTGATGAAACACCAAAACCCAAAGCAGCTTAGGAAGGAAAGGGTTCATTTGGCTTCCACATCCAGTCCATGGAGGGAGGCCGAGGCAGGAGCTGATTCAGAGGCCATGGAAGGGTGCTGCTTCCTGGCTTACTCCTCATGACTTGCCTAGCTTCCTTCCTGATAGAAAGCAGGCCCACTAGTCCAGAGGTGGCCCCACCCACAGTGGACTGCACCCTCCCACATCAATCACTAATTAAGAAATGCCAACAGGCTTGACTTATGGAGGCGTTTTCTCAATTGAAGTTCTGTCCTCTTAGATGACACTAGCTCGTATCAAGTTGATATAAATAAAACAACTGGTGCAGCACGGGCTTACAGAAGAATTTTGCCAATGAAGAATGAGGTGGTATAGTGTGTTCTTTCGTTTGAAAGATATCTAAATTTCATTTGTTAGGCATTTTTTAGAAAAATCTTTGGAAGACTACAAACTTGCTCTGCACACTTAGGGTAATTTAGAGCATAAAGCTGTTAGTAAGCTCTCTAATGGAGGCTGTAGTGGCCTCTAGTCCATCTTCTATGGCCATGCTAGTTTACATGCATACTAATTTGTTGTTTAAATAGTATTCTGTCTCCCAGATTCGAGAGATACATCTAGGATTTATCTAACCAGAAGTCTTGAGTATTGGTATCATTTAGAGCAGAAATGTAGGCCTATTCATTAGTATGAATAGGTTTATTTAAAGGTTTCCAAGTAACTCTAAGATGCAGCTGGGCTGACTGACAGTGCAACCTGCTGTTCTAGGGTTATTTTGGTAGCAAATCACATAATAGCAACAGATTTAAGGAAAAGTGTGTATAGATACACTTGTGAGTCTTTACGTACCTGTGTCCGACTATCTCAATTTCTCTGCTACAGTTGGTTTTTGGTGTCTTTGAATTCCATATATATATTTAACTTGTGACCACAAATACTTTTAAACACTTGTGTGTGTACTGAATACATGTAAACTTGTTTTGTATTTGTTCTC